TAGTAAGATTTTTTAGGATACTGTCACGTTTACGGATACGAACTCTAATCTTTTTTACTTATGTAACTCTTCCGTTTTTAGCACAAAGACACTAAGAAACTTTCAATGACTTTCTATTTAATTTGTTAGCGCGCTTTGTTTGATTTCTGTTCCGTGACTAGCGAATATCCGCTCAAAGCTAGCTACATAAAGCTCTGTTCATTTCTATTTCCCGTACGTCAAAGTGTAAGAACTAAATTCGCCTTCTATAAGCAAGTAGCTCAGTTGCGAGGAGTCACTGTAGCGAAAGCATTTCGGAGCCGAACGAAGTTTAGGAGTTCTCTACCCCGGAGTCAAGATCCGATTTTTTACCGCCTGTGCTGTACAAAGACTGCCAGCTTAAGTGAATAAAGAGTTTGATGCTGCTGCTTGTCTAAAGTTCAACACTGTGGTTATACTGGCGAACTCCGGTGCACAACACCACGTGTCTGCGGCATCGGGAACGCGACAGTTACTGACTTTCTGAAGTTGTTGTCGCGTCCCAATCAAAAGACATTCTGTCCTCCATCAAATTCACACTTAGAATTCTCGATAATGAAACTCCTGATGTGCCAAGCCATTTTCTTATTCTGTTTTGTCCAGGCGGTGCAGTTAGAACAATTGATTCCCCGGATGTTAACAAATTCATACAGCTGACATTTCGACCAGTTGCCAAAACTGTAGTGATCTGCCAGCTTTGCGTGTGCATAGTCCGTATACTGCAGACCATCTGAATGAAAGTTACAAGTTGCTCTCAGATGTGTGGAGTGATAAGCAAGACAATGCATCTGTGAAAAAGACAGGCGTTATGATGCCAAATCCACTACATTGTTATTTCGATTCAGTGGCATATTACTGGCAAACCCTTGGCCCTCAAAGATATTGTTATTGTCTAAGGAAAACGACTGTATCAATGCCCACAAAGTACAAGTCATAGTAAAGAGAAAACGTTGCACTGGTTGTATAAAAGATCCTGTACTTTCCTGATGTCGAGATGCTGTTCTTGGCGATGTCTTTGCAGCTTCTCCGATGTTGTTTAATCGTCTCGCATCGCTGACCAGTGTACGTGTTAGGACAGGTACAGTTAAACCAGTTGTTCTGGGTGTCACAAATTTCCTGGCATACCCCTCCGGTGAGACGAGGGTTGGAGTGGCAACATCTGTTGACACAGCGATGGTCTTTAGCGCTAAATTTATCTACACCTCAGAGAAATGTAAAGATATGGACATATAACATATCATAAAGAAATAACAATAACAACAAAACTGTCATAAGGGAGGATCGGCACCGAAAGCGTATTGATATATTTATCTATTTTTTTATTTATTTATTTATTTACTTAGCTTCCACCCATTCCACTATTATAATAGGAATATTATAATAGTTAATGCTACATTTAAAGATGAAATAAACAATTTTTAAAAATCGTCACATGCATTAAAGCATCACATGCAGCCAACCAGCCTCCAAAGTGAGCATGTAAAGATGAAATAAACAATTTTTAAAAATCGAGTTCCCAGATGGAAACTCGATTTTTAAAAAATGCTACATTTGAAATAAAATACTAGATCTTTAAGCTCATGGCAATAAGAGACAGGAAGAAGATTTAATCTAATAGTTAACAAATGGTGAACGCCATAGCGTGTACTTTTGAGTTATGGATGCATGCGGGAGGTTGCTAAGCACGAAAGAAGCGTAAAAGTCGCACGAGGCGATAGCCGAGTGCGACTCTAGCTTCTTGAGTGCTTAGCAAACCTCCCAAGTNTATGCGGTTTATATAGCGTCATATAATTCTGCTGTGTCCTGCTACACTTCGTTTCCTAACAACGCTATTTTAATGGAAATCTACAATTATCTAGACCCCAGAGCGTGTTATATGATTGTTTTATTCCGCTCTGGTAAACAGAGGCATCTTCTGAAGTGAGTAGTTCCACATACTAGATTCAGAGAATTTGACGGGAACATGTCGTTTAGCGGCGGAGTGTGAACTTGTGTTGTTTGCCGAGCGCAGTTGTTTTCGTTTAGAATAAAGATTATTGGGATCAGGATCAATGATGTTTTTAACCTTTCCGCTCTTGATGTATTAAAGTATAAGAAATTAGGTCAATTTAAGTGTAAGTAATCACAATTGACAATTTTCTCAAGCAATCAAAACACCTCGAAGTACGCATCTTGTGCTCGAAACTAGCCTTTTCACAAGCTCTGCTTTTGTCTTTAAACCTTTCGCTGGGTCACCTTTGCCCTTCAACCATAGTCTCAAGTCCTCAGTCTTGAATTCTGAGAGATTTCTATCTCCTAAGCAAGCTCCAGGAATGTCATTTTCGGTTAAAAAGCTCGAGGAATTGTGAGAGTTTGTATTCGCGTCTCTATGTGTTGCCCAGGTGGCCTCGCTTTCGTGAAATTATTCGTAACCAGTCTCAGACCTCCATCGGATTCTCCGCCATTATGGCAAAGTTGTATGAACTGCGCAAAATTGCCTAGAGACAGACAGGTGAACATGAATTTTTAAAAGCTCACAGCAATCATACAGTATTTAAACTTTTTTTGAAGAAATGCTTGCTGCTAATTTATTGTTTCAAGCTTTTCTACTGGACGATTTTGCTCTTGTTCTCTTACTTTAGCGACTTCTTTCTGCTTTCCGATCAATGCTATTCCATTAACTTGTACCTAGTAAGCCGAGTAATTCAATATTTGCTTTGTAATGGAGACGAGGCACATAACTACATGAGGGCATGGATTTGCCTCAATGTACAAAAGAGTTTCATTATGACGCGTTCAGTTCATATGAACAAAATGTAAAAAATTAGCAAATTGGAAGTTACGTTTTAACAACCCTCTCCTCTATAAATAATTCTTGATAAATTTTGCCGACTATACAGGTCCTGTTTAACTCCAAATCACTGCTGTTTTGTAGAATCAGGAACAGATGTACAGTGATTAATTTCGCTGACAAAATATATTCGAAATTATTTTCGTTTTTCCTGCGCCTATTTCGCCTCGAAACTTCCGGGACGTCAACGTACTTTTTATTACCCAAGCCCTAACATGTTCATTGATCATTTTTGTCGTTCGACAACTCCAATATAAGCTTGATGGCATTTACGAGAGAAAATTTATATTTTCAAAAAATATTTCCTTGTTCCCCCTTGAAGAAAAAAAAACTTTCTTACTCACCACCCTTGATCATAAATAGCGATACTTGCTACGGCTGATGGTAAAAAAGCCGAACTTATTTCCTGAGTGAGCTTTTACGCCAGTAAGACAAGTCCTCGGCCAGATGAATATCAGATTTAGGGAACGGGGGCCCTGGAGGACTTTGATTTTGTCATTATAAAATTTATCTGATCCTCCCATAGGGTACTGTACTCTGTAGTTATATCATGACCCCCTACCCCTCTCATTAGCAGTTAATTGGCGGTCAGCTCTCTATAGTCCCTACTTTATACTCTTTTGGAAACGACTGACCCACCCTCTCAAACCCCTGAAAATCAAGTCCCCTGCCCTCCCCTTCCCTCCCCC